TCTTGCACATACTTTCACACACATAACTTTTCATTCATCACACCCAGAGAACTCTTCAACCCGAAACTCTTCTTGCACAATACCTTTTTCAACCCCTATATTTTTCACCCAGAGACTCTTCACCCAGAAAACTCGTCTCCGGCACATACGTTCACTCATATAACTTTTGCAACCCAGAGACTCTTCACCCAGAAAACTCTTGTTTTTCCAGCTCCCGCACATCACGACGTTTTCACCAACATATAGCTTTTTCCCCACATCAGACTCTTCCACCCAGTAAGACCCTTCTTGAACATACATTTCACACCGACACATATACTTTTCACCCAGAGTCTCCTTCTTCTGTGTCTCAGTACTCTTGAACTCTTCCCCCAGAAACTCGTTCTTGCCACAGGTTACTTTTTACGCCCATATCTTTTCACAACCCAGAGACTCTTCTCCCCAAACTCTTGCACATACTTTTCACCCACATACTTTTCACCCAGAGACTCTTCACCCAGAAACTCTTCTTGCACATACTTTTCACCCAATGTCCTTCTCTCTCCATTCTCCCCTAACTGCTGGCCCATCTATCTGTCCATTGACTGAGCCCAGAAAAGAAAACAACCGGACCTAGGGGGAATCGATACCCACCGTCACTGTTTTGCCGCCTGGTACATTACCCTGCAAAACCATACTTTGCGCGGTCCTAAAACACCACCTATTTACGCCGTTTTCGGCCCGTTTGACAGCTACCCCGCCCCAGACCCCCTATTCTCACTTCGTTCGCAAATAACAACTAGCCAGCTTCCCGGCTGGCTTTCGTAATAACAATGACTTAATGACATCTCGTGGCTGGCCTATTTCATTTAATGATGACCGGTTGCTATTGTTTTCCAAATGTATTGTTTTCTTGGGCTGCCAGCTTGCTGCTCTGGTTTTTCTCGGAGAAAAGACCGTGATGGATATCAAATGACCTAATGCTGAATAGTGTTGAACGAAAACATCAACAGATCCAAAGAGAGATTATTCTCCTGGCTTGTTGGATTTGACATGTACCATTTCTCTTCCCCCCACCTGATGCAGAACATACTGCGCAATGTTCTCCTCCGTCACATCCTCGGCATTCTCAACGAATTCCACTGCTTCGGGCCTCAACGAAGTCACAGCAATGTCCAGCGCAGTCTGATTGGTTTCATTGATGGCCGGCCGGTTGTGCCCCCTTTGGTTCTTCGGCCCAGCACCCTCCAAGGTGCCATAGAGGAAAAACGAGACCTTCGATCCCCAGAGCTTCTCATGAAAGGGTCGGATTTGAGAAAAGACCACAGGAACTGTGAAGGTGCGAAGATTCCCTGCTATGCAAACAGCAACACCACGTGGGGCTTTCGTAAATGCTGTCGGTGGCAAAATGGTAGTGGTGTTGGTAGTAGTGGTAGATGTAGTGGTAGATGTAGTGGTAGATGTAGTGGTAGATGTAGTGGTAGATGTAGTGGATGTGGTATCTGGGAGACTTTCGGCAGTTGTTGCAATCACATCTCGTTCAAACTTAAGTTCTTCAGTCGCTACAAAAGTAGTTTCCGGGTGAAAATTTGTTTCTGTAGAGAGTAGAACCGCTGCAGTCAAGCACATCATCAGCAGGGCACACCAGGAAGACTTCCACTCCATCGCATTACAACACAGGTCTGCCATTTCGTCCCCACCTTTTGCTGAACGTTTGAACCGATTTGCTGTTCCAGATGCCAAATATCTACAGTTTCAATTGATTCACCTTCCCCTCGTTTAAGTCTTTAAGTGAAATAATATGAAATAATCATATTTGCAAAATAAACCCTCAGGGTCTGCGACTAGAAAACAACCTGGTCACTTTTAGTACTAGCCCATGTTTGGGGTGGTTATAATCCTATCCCCATCAATCAATGATGATTTCTATCTCCACACAAAATACATTGCTAGTTTTGATGGCATAAACGCAAGGTATATCCCTTTATCCCTGGTTTCCATACATATATCATCATGTATATCCTATCCCAGCCCTTCATCATTTTCCGGAAACAATCCCATTTTCCATGAGCTGTTTTCCCCACGCGTCCCGATGATGTACCCCCATGAACCCCCCACCATGCAGTGAGGACTTACATCCCCAAACAAAATTCTCGATAAAGTGATACTTCTATTTCTGGATTGGATTTTGCATGTCTATCTTGATGGGGTTGCGATATATACAATTTTTTATACAAATTTAATCCCCACTAGATCATTCTATGATTGTTTTGTCGAGCCATTGATTTCTCCAATTTCATCTCCTGTCTCTGCCCCGGGATCCACCGGTTCCACCAACTGTTTGGTCGCGCCACGGGCCTCAACTGGATCACTGTTGGAGATGTTGATCCCCATGACTCTCAAGTCATGGCGGACGAGATTCCCATATCACCTATGGTAGGTCAAAATATTTAAGGTTGAAGGTAGTGCAGAAAAGGTCCCACATCATGTTGGCGCATCAATCATATTCACTAAATTGTCAACGCGATCCAAATATGATATCCATGATATCGAACTTCTATGGGTTGATAGAATATTATCCCATCCTTTGTCTAATCCCAAATCTTTGTCAAATCACCATGTTTTTGCCCGGAAAATTGTGATTTCCAATGGATTTCCCCATCGCCTCAAGCCGCAGCTGCTAGCTGTTGATCGCCTGACGGGATCACGGGGAGAGACCAGCAGATTTTGGAGTTGTGGGATTTAACAATCGAAAATGGGGGATTTAACATGGTTCAATCATGTTCAATCATGTTCATCCTGAAATGGTGGTATTTCTTGGCTAATATGCTTGTCAAATCTTGTCAATAGCTGCGATCAGGGACCCCACAATGAAGAAATCCAATACTCAACCAGTAGTTTGTTTGGGTAACCCCCTGGGTCGTTGATTTTGAAGTGTCCATTGTCATCACCAGAAACTTGATGGATGAGCCATGATGGATCCTCAAATTGAGTAGCGCCTTGGCACAAATGGCTGGACATGTGTCTTTCCACATCTGAAACCATAACATGGTGAGATGGACTGCCCATTTTCGATGATTTTTTTTTGGTTAAACCATGTCATATTCTCCAAATCAAACAGCTGGGGATACATTGGATACACGGTGAGGAATTTCTACCAGGCTCGTCTCCGTGAATCCTAGGACTTCGTTCAGTGGCGATAAGTTGAACTGTTGAGCTCTCACCAAAACATGGAAAATAGTGGAAAATATAAGGAGAGATCGATATCCATATCTATTTCATCCAATATTCCAACTATTTCAGGGGTTGCAACAACTGCACTTAGATGAAGACTGCACCTTGTTGATGATGATCTGAAGCATTTTTAAGATCCTCTTTCAAAATGATGGATCCATTTTTCATCTCCAAAACGAATGTGAAAAGAAAGCGAATGACCACCAAAGTTGGCAAAGGATAGTCAGCTTCCATCATATTTTTTGTTGTGGTCCACGTTTTTGTTGACATCAGTCATCCTGTCCAAAAGCAAGATTTCACTTGTCCTCTGCCATGCAAAACCCTTCCGAAGATCTTAACATGACTGCTTAAACAGTCCACGAACATGTCAGTGTATGATTATTGTGCACAAAATGATGGTTTCATCTTATTCTACTCATGACTCTTCACATGTACTTTCATATACACACCATCTGCACCGTTTTTGGCCTCTGAGGTGTCGGTCAATCTCGGTGAATCTCACTTTCTCGACTTGGTCCGTTGAATCTGGGCGACTCTGGCCCTTCGAAAAGGTGTGGTGATATTTGAGCAGGAGCATTGACCAAAATTGCCATGCACCGCTCCAGTTAAATATTCCCACAAACTTTCAGATCGGTCAATTTTTCGACAACATTTGTCGGAAGGACTACAACTCAGAACTTTGCCGAGCAAATAAAATCGTTCCGCCAGCGCACGAGGCATGGCCACCCAGTGATCCATTTGAAGTGCCACACTGCCGTTGGAGATCCACTCGGGAACCCAAGCGACATCACGAAACCAATCATGATCATTACGGTTCACGTCATATCGCAGATCCGGGCGGGTTAAAATTACCACTTTGAACCTGCGACCTCGGGTTTGTTCAAATCGCATCATCATCTCAAGGCTACTGATGACGTGTGCGAGCTGATTCAGGCCACGTAAGAAGCGCACGCGATTTTCGAAGAAGGCTTCGACACCGTCCACCGATTCAATGAATTGAATATTTCGGAAACATTCCTGGGGGAACAAAATACATCATGACGTCGACGCTCGATTTTTGAGATGATGACTGGTTGATTTTGTATCCAGTACTTCTTTTGTTGGGCTGGCAGCTTGCTGGTCTGGTTCTTTTTCCCCCGATTGGAAACAAAACTAGTGATGGATGTCAAATTACCTGGTGATGACTACTGTTGAATTCAAACAGTATATCAGATCCCAAGTAGAGATTGTGTCTTCCCTCAATGGATTGTCGGATTTGACATCTACCATTTCTCTTGCTCCTACCTGATGCAGGACATACTGCGCAATGTTCTCCTCCGTCACATCCTCAGCATTCGCGACCAATTCGACTGCTTGGGGCCTCAGCGACGTCAGCGCCATCTTCAACGCAGTCTGATTGTTTTCATGGATGGCGGCCAGGTTGCGATGCGTTTGGTTCTTCGGCCCAGCACCCTCCAAGGTGCCATAGAGGAAAAACGAAACCGTCCAACCCCAGAGTTGCTCATGAAAGGGTCGGATTTGAGAAAAGACCACAGGAACTGTGAAGGTGCGAAGATTCCCTGCTATGCAAACAGCAACACCACGTGGGGCTTTCGTAAATGCTGTCGGTGGCAGAATGGTATTGGATGTATTGACAGTAGTAGATGTAGTGGATGTACTCTCCACATCCTCAAGGGGCTCAGTCGCACTTTGCCGTTGAAATTTCATTTCTGTAGACAGTAGAAGCACTACAGTCCAGGATGTCATCAGCAAACCACACCGTGCAAAGCTTCCACTCCATGGCATTAGAACAGTCGGCCATTTCCTGCCAACTCGAGCCGGCGCTCAACATGTTTTATTGTCTTTGCCACTTTTTTGTTGCTCAATTTTAGTATTTTTCACCATATGGAACCATCCATTTTGGTGATAACGTCAATCAGGATTTGCATCCCCAAAAGAACGGAGAATATCTCCTACAACTGGACATCGGATCCCATTTGTACCCCATTTGCATCCCCATGATGTCCGCATTTTGCCATCCTCACTGCTGCCACTCCCACATATTCAAAGCCGATGTCTTCGTTGCCTCGTAGATTTCATCGGAATCGTGAAGTCGCTGATCGGAAAACATATAATATACCAATTGGCGAAAAATTGGTCGGTCTTTCATGGTTTTTATAACTAAATCATCCAGGGTCTTGATAATCTTGACTCATAGCCACATCTCAGATTGAACCCGCCCCAGGTGACTTGACCACCATCAAGACCGCTAGCCACATCACCGCACCGGTGTTTACGCTTCGGCCTCGTCAAAGTGATAACCTTCGGCGCATTGCCGTGTTGTGTTTCCACAAATGGCGCAAAGGGGCTTAAGGGGGCTTGAGGGGTTGCCCATTCTGAGTTACATGAGCATTGACTTGGAGCAACCCAACAATGGGAGCAACAACCACACACTGGAATCTACCATTACTTACTTTTGATTTGTGTTTTAGATCCTTTTAGGTCGATTTTTCAATCTGATTGATCACACAGAGCAACCAAATCCAACCTTTCTACTGCCAATCGTTAGAATCCGCTAGAATACTTTGTTACAAGACATGTATCAATCATTTGGGGAGGGTTCCCGATGTTATTCCTGACCTGAGTTTGCTGAGGCAGGGGCACCTTCTCCATTCCCGAACCCGGCAAGGCCGCGCACACAGTGTTGACGCTTGTGCACATGTACACTTGAGTCAGTAGGTGCATCTCCAAGTTCGGGAATGGACACAAAAAAACGCAATGAGGCATTGCTGGGGCCCAGTTCAAACCACATCTGTTTTTCGGAGTTTTCTGTCAAGATGTCGGATTTTCAACGCCCAAGTTCATCTGAAGGCTTTGCAACTTAAGGTGACGGGATTGACAAATAGGGCGCCAAAATCTGGCGAAATCAAATTGGGCATGCGCCATTGTTTCTGTGGTTCTAATCTGTACTGCTCTCCCTCTGTTGTGAGCCAACCTTTGCGCTAGGCCGTGGGTCAAACGCAAGTAGCAAGGCATCAAAAAAAAATCCAGGTATCAAAAAAAATTAAACATACGATCAAAAAAAATAAAAAGGATCAAAATAAATTATTGATATTTCGATGGTAGGGACAGCATTTCGGACATGGCATGAGGCAAAAAGAAACTGGACACCAAGGGATCAAAAAAAATGCGAATATTTTTTTGATTCCTTTATTTTTTTGATCCGGGTTATGGCACCAGGATCTTTTGGCACCAGGAATCGTACCAGCAGCAGCAGCCGTAGCTGTAGTATGGTAGTAGTAAGTAATCGAAGGAAGTTTAGAAGTCAAACTTCCGACAATATGGACAGATAGATGAAAAGCAGAGCAGGGAAGAGGCAGAGAGAAGAGAGAGAGTAGAAGAGAGAAGATCAGAGAAGAGAAAGAGTCAGAAGAAAGCAGATGCAGATGCGCGAAAAGGTAGGAAAGTCGCGAAACACTCTGTTTTTCCAATGATTTGAGGCTCCGGAGGGTCGAAAAGTAGGTTCGCTAAAGCGGCGGGTGCGGAGCCAGCTGCAGATGAGAGGTGAAAAATTGCATGCCGTTGTGGCGCGAAGCACATTTGCAAGTCAAAATGTACAAAACACACCATGTGCGGACCACTTTTGGCAGTTGAGATGTCGAAAAAGTGCACGCCGTTGTGGCGCGAAGCACTTTTCGAAGTCAAAATGTACAAAACACACCATTGTCGACCACCTTTGGAAGTTGAGATGTCAAAAAAATGCATGCCGTCGTGGCGCAATGCTATTCCAGTTGCTCCTCATCGTGCGATGGTATGCAACATCAGGGACCTCAGTCATGGCACAAATGGGCACGCCAGTGAAGGCGGCTTTTCGCTCGGGGGAGACGTTGTCTACACAGTACACCATGGTTGAATTGGCATAAAGGCCCCCGGCGTTCTTCAGGGCAAATTCGGAGTGACCCTGGGACTGCACGGATTTTGACGGGATAAAACATCATGCCTAAGCCATTGTCGACAGGAAAATCGGGAATGCGTGCACACAAGAATTGGAACCTACTCTTGCCATGCTTGTCGATTTTCATTGCGGTGCCAAAGAGGTTTGAGACGGTGATGAAAACGTCTGCATGGGGCACTTCCTTGCGGAAGGCTTTGGCAAAATCCTCCAAGTCAATCCAAAGGTCCTTGTCCATCGGTACCTTGGCGCAGGATCCATGCCCCCTTATTGACACGGGTTGCGAAGTCAGAAAACCGTTTGTCGACACGAGTCTGGCTGGCGATGGTTTCTACGTCGGATGCCGAAAGCAGTTCCAATTCATATGCCGTACCGTTAAAAAGGATACCGGGTACCTCGTCCCCGTCTGCATTGGTTACCATGGTATATTGGTATTCGGAGAGGTGCTCCTCCATCCAATGTGCCTTCACGTAACCTGATGCATGTTCCTCTAAGCGCGCAGTTGCCTGCGGCCGGTACTGGCTGGAAGTGGCTCCTGTGTCATCTGCAGGCGTGGATGCGGATGCAGAGGCAGGCACTGCTTTTGGTCGTGACTTCAACAAGACCTCGGCTGTTCGGACTGTGATCGATGCTGTGCCAGAAGTTGCGGGCTCGCCGTCGCCGGCGGCCGGTTTTGGAGGGTCGTCCCGAGGAGGCTCAGCAAAGGTGCCAGGAGCCATCGTTTTGACATCAATGTAATCCTCGGTGTCAGGCTGTTGAGCTTCAACGTCTTCTTTGGTGAAAGACTTGCCTGTTGGAATAATGTGTCTTCGGGACTCGCCAAAAAGCAACTTGGTGATGCTTGCGATCTTCTCCTGATAAGAGGTCGGCAGCTCGTCGAGGACAGCGCTGAGGTTCCTTCGCAAGTCATCCCATGTTTCCTGGGCACATTGTGCAAGCTCAAGCCCTATTCGGCCAACCCGCCACCCACAGTCAATGGCAAACAAAGTTGCCGTCCAGTACGCAGAGAGCCTCGTGCGATTTTCTTCAGAGTTGGCGAAATGCCATTGGTCTCTGAATTCCATCGCATCGGCGTACCCCTTTGCAAGCAACCATGGAAAATTGGGATTGGCAAGCCCGAGAAGGCTGCATGTCAGGGCCTTGAATTTGGGTTCCAATGCATCGAAAAACTGGTCAAAAATCGGATGAATGCCGTAGTCAGTGACCAGGGCGCGGTGGTGAGACCGGCAGACTGCAAATCCAGCTCTTGGGCTTTCTTGACAAACCAAGTCAAGTGGCGTTCACAATCATCCTGAAGCGTCGGCCAGTGCCCGTTGGGACCATCGTATGGCCAATTTGGATTTTGGGCAATCCCTTCCTCACCTACCAATTCATTTCCGAACCAGGACAAATGCAAATTAATGCGGGCTTCAGGATAGCGCTCGCGGGCGTCCGCGGCCAATTCAATCCCACGTTTGACCAATCGCTGCAGAGTCTTGCCCCAAAGCATCTCATGGATGAACTCAGTCACATACCCAGGCTTACGCGGTGTGCCTTCGTCCAGTGATCAGCGCACATGACGAATCGGAGACTAAGATCCAGATTACTTGGTTAACTGGCATCGCTGGCAACATGATCTTTTCAAGCTGGGATTCTTTTGGCATGAAGCAGAAGCTAAGGTATTCTGCAAGCGGATCCTCTCGGCCGTAGAACCTCAGGGCTGAGGCCGGTGACCATTCGTTCATCAATCCCTCCACAAGGTCCTGAGAAACCTGACCTTCACCTTCATTGCGCATGGCCAATGCATACAAAATGCGATTGTGGAGGTGATACCATGCTTGCTTGTTAGCCTCACGTGTGGCTTCGAGCGCAGCCTCGCGGCTGGCCGGGTGTGCTGTGGCATATCGCGAGTCAGCCATTTTAGCAGGACAGGCACGTATGACAGCGGACGAAATCCTTTTGGATGTTTGGCCCACCACAGCTACCCGGAAACACTCATGGAGCATGTCAGTCAACTTGAAAGTGTAATTCTCAGCAAGTTTAAGAGCTTTGCCCCTACTTTGATCATGCTCATGTTTGCCACCACATTTGAAGGAGTCTAACACCGCAAGTTCTTTGAAGTTTCCCGCGATGGTCCAACTTTTCTTCATTGGTTGGCCGTTGTTTCCAAGAACACCCAACATACAACCATCAAAGTGATGAGTAGTCATGGATCGTTCTTTAAGGAATTTTCTAACCATCGGCCATCTCCAATATTTGCAATTCTTGGACAGTTCAAATGCTATCAAGGTTCGTTCATCATAAACTTCATCCACAAGTTTGACAAAAGATTTGAACAACTTGGTAAACTGTTTTTGTTGCTCTTTGATTCTTTCTTGACCCTCAACAGTAAGGCCATTGACGTTCCCCCATGGGCTACCCCCGACACAAGGCAATGATGCATAAAGTATCAAAGTGCCGTCATTGAAATCATTTCTGAAGTCTTTGACTTGGGAGGCTATCCGTTGCCGACAGCTGATAGTGGTACCATCTTCTTTCTCGGTAACCCTAATGCAGTGGCAATCTTCATTGGACTTTCTTGGGGTACTAAGCTTCGAATCATCAGAGCAGCAAAATTCGATCAACATTCTGGGCTTAAAAGACTTTTCGCAGCCCCCCTGATTCCCGGCAGCGGTTGCTAGTTTTGGCACCTTAGTGGAGTTCGGCGCCGCTGTGTGGCGGGCTGCTGCTTCCTCCACCTGATGCCAATGAGATGAATGGCATGCAACCAAAGGGCTGGTCGGGTAAAAGGTTTTGTAAGAATGTCTGCAACTTGGAAACTAGTCCCAACATTGAGAAGATCGAATTGCTTACATTCAAATTGTTGTTTCAACCATTTGAAGTTGATGTTTTGTGTTTTGTTCATGTGTCTCATGGATGCTGATGAACCGGTGGACATGACTGTGATAGTCGCTTGGTTGTCCTCCATAAATTTGACTTGATAAAATTCAGGGAAACTGGCTTTGAGGGAGTTGATGTCCGCAACACTACAACCTGTATCGACATTCCCATTGCGGATTTCGTCAATTTCAGGGTCGATCCTAGTGAACACAACATCTTCTTGGGGCTTCGCGGCGTCGCGAGCTGGTTTACCCTGAAGCTTCTTGAAAAGATTCAACTGCTCAAACAGGGCCAGCATTGGAATACCCTCGGCTCTCATGCTGTGATTTGCGGCAACTACCTCAGCCTCAGTTGAAGATATGGCAACAACCGTTTGTTTCTTACTGAATGCATTTAAGGGGTAATAAGTGTTGGGGCCAACTAGCACTATGGCACTGCCAGTGGTACTCTTGCTATCATGTTCACCTGCGTGGTCTGCATCGGCAAACAGCCAGAGTTGGCATTTATCAAAGGCATCCCCAATAAAACCCTCTAAGAAGTGGTGCTTTGTACAATGAATGTAAGACACCAATCTATGCAAGGCAACATCGCATTCAATGGACCACTTTGTCACTCTAGATGCTAAGCTTTGTGTGGCACGCAACAAGTCAAACCTTGCCATTCTTGCGGCAAATAGGATCTTCATCAAGATCTTGCTGGCCACTGGCTGGAGTTTGCCAGGCTTTTCATCTTCACTGAGTGTGGGCCGTGCGATACCGGCATCTGTGAATGGTGTGGGCACCTCTTTCAAGGACGATGGACTGACTTTTGCAAGACTGCAATAGTTTTCTACACAGGACCCCAGGAAATCACTCATGTCATACCTCACTAAGTTCACGGGCTTGGCCATGACGCCAGCTTTGGTCTTCACTGCATGATCAACCCCCCTGAACTT